GAGTTAGAGCAGTGGGCCCACCACCTCAGGGTCCCCAGGACCGTCGGGACCCTCCCCAGGCCACTGGAGCCAAAACATGTAGCTGGAGAAGGGGCCCAGGATATTTCCTAACATGGCATCTCAGTTCACTGCAAAGGGCCTCCTCTGCAAGAGGACTTCTGGAATCAAGGAGCAAGGGAAAAGGGAAAACCAGAGTCTCTGTGGGAAGCAGCTGTTTAGTGATTTGCCCAGTGCTCTGGGTGATTCTGTGGCCACAGGTCAAACTCCTCGTTGGCTTCCAGAAAGGCCACAGGAGGAATGAACCAGAATGCACACAGCAGTTCTGTCTGGGATGGTCGGTGAAGTCCTGAGACATTTTTTTGGCTCTCGTCGCTGGGTGTGGAGGGTTGGTTCCTGGCAGAGTCAAGGCCAGGATGCTCCTCAGCCCCCGCATTCTCCATGGGACGGCCCTACTGCGGGGAGCGACTGGGCAGAGGGCCAAGAAAGCCTAATGGAAGGGCATCTTCTTCCCACGTTTGCTTCCGTTTGGCCCAGTTGCTGTGGGTTCGGTGTTGAGCGTAGGATGTAGGCCCAGCCTTTGATACTGATGCATGAAAACGAGAATGGCTTAGGGATGGAAAAGGCTATCATGAAGAATAAATGACAAATTGTCTTTGATGGAACTTCTGGGAACAAGGTAATGACCAAACAGGACGAATCAGGTTTTCATTTCATTTTAGTAAATTCCTCATTCTGGGTTATCTCAAATACATGTTTAAGCTCTGGGCAGTTGGCCTGGAAAGACCCCAACCAACGGCCCCTTGTCTGTGTTCCATGCACCATGCCTGGGGCTTGCTGGCCCCACTTACCTCTGTTCCCTCGCCCTCCAGGGAGGCACAAAGCAAAGACAACAGAGGGGTCATGTTTTGCATCCATACCCCAAAAGCAGTCAGTGCAGAGGTCCATGGCTTCGATCTGCACCCCCCAACCCGGCCAAATCTGGCCAGAGTGCCCCCTGAGGGCTCTGGTGTGCCAATCTCCCTCTCCGGGCCCTGGATGCTGTGCTGAAGGCCTGGGGACAATGGCTTCTCTCTGTGTGCCTCCCTGGTCTCAGGTTCGAAGGCCCTCGCTTCTACTTACTTCTTGCTTTCATACAAAGCAATGATGTCCTCAAAAGCGTTAATATCGAACTCCTCAGAGCAGTCAAATGAGAAATCTAGCATTGAGCAGCTGAAAGGGAGAATCTGTATAAACTGAATGCGCTCCTGGGATGGGGGACCCGCGGCCCGTGGGCCAGGCCCTGGGGAGACAGGCCTTGCTTTGGTGGTGGCAGGCTGGTCTTTGCGGGGGTGGGGTGGAGTGGTCGGAGTGGAATTAAAAGCAATGACCCACAAGCAAATAGGGTAAGTGCTTTTTATCTTGTGCCCCCTTTTTGAAAGAGCTGATTTGAAAATGCACCTTTGTAAAAGCAGGAAAATGACATGCCATGCTTTCAGACCAAAAGCATAGTTACCTAGGGCTTAGTTTGGTATCCACACACAAACTCTTATGAACCTCTTGAGGAAATTTTTCGAACAGAGGGCTCAAAAATAAAGTGACCTTTTCACATTTGAAAACAGTCACGTGCTCCTTGGGTATTTGTGAATCTTGGGAGAGAAGTTGGGGACTTGGCTGCCCTAGGGCCTTTGCATGTGCTGGTGTCCCCTTCCCACTCCAGTGCACCCTGCCTTCCTTGTCCAGCTCAATCCCTTTCCCTTTTCAGGGACTTCAGCCTGCTTGGCTCTCACAAGTTGCCAGAAGTGTCCCTCCTCCAACTTTGTCATTGCCTGGGGTCTGTCCTGTGTGGCCTTTCTCAACTTGCCCCTTGGGAGTGCATCCCTGCTCACGTTTATACTCAGCACAAACCAGGGTATGTGGAGACCCCTTGGTCATTGTGGGGTGGCCAAAGAACACCCTGCGTTATCTGGTGGGCCACAGGGCACCTTGGGTTTCTCACTGCAGGCAAAGTATCTTAGCAGATCTGCTTGGGCATAACCCAGCCTGGCGAAGGGAGGAACTCCATTTACATGAAGTTGTTGCTCAGCGAGACCAGTGACACCCTGGCCCCATTCCCCCGGCCATGAAAAGGACCGTCTATACGCTGAGCCCTAATGCAGACGACGCAGGGAGGCCTCCCTTTCTGTGCGCAGAAAAGCGGCCACCAGATGCCATTGTTTCTGGGTCTTTTTGGTTCAAAGGGCTTTGGGGTTCCTTATTTGGGTCAACCCCAGCCTGGGTTTGCGGGGTAGGGTTTCTGGCCTTGTTTTAATAATGCAGTTGCCTAGTGACCTCAGTTTGGACAAATCAAGGTCTTGCTCACCGGAACAGCTTTTCCGACGGGGTGCTGGCTCCTCTCTGCGGCTCTGCTGCGTGGCTTTGGGTGCCGGAGATGCCCAGACCTTCTGGGTACAGAGAGTAGATGGAATTTGGTGGGTGGTAGAGGTGGAGTGGGGTATACCCAGAGCCGAAAGGCCTCTGTCTCTACCACAGAGGCTGAGATCCTGATTTGAACTCATTTTAAGAAAACAGCCTGACACTCAAATTTGGTCATAGCAGGGAATGTTAAAATGTTTTGGTCTTCCCCCTAAACCATGCCATTTAGTCCTGCTTATTGTAAAGGCCTGGTCCTGTCAGTCCCCTTTTAGTCAATGCCCTTCATGAAACATAGCCCCACTCCTGGCGTCTGGAGCCGAGTGCCCCTGGGGGAGCCATGCAGTCATCCTGGGCCTCAGGGTGTCCTTAAAGAGACATGGGGCATGTCTCCTGCTTTGGGAAGATGATGAAGTTAAAAGATATACCCTGATACAGCATTTCTATCTAGGAAGATGAAAACGTTCTGGAGCTACACAGAGGGGATGGCTGTATGGCAATGTGGAGGTGCTAAGTGCCACAGAACTTGACACTTTAAGAGGGACCCTCAGGGTCCCCGCATTGACAGGGATGGTTGGGGGTCCCTTGCTACCTGCAGCCTTC